AAGGGGGTTGATGGGAGTGGAAGGGGGGTGATGGGAGTGGAAGGGGGGTGTTGGGGTTGGGGGTTTTGAAGCCTGCACGCGTGTGTGTATTGACACACGGTGGTGTGTGTTGGCGTGTGTGCATGCGTCCCGCCATTGTGGGGGTGGGTGGGGACAGAGGCCCCCTGTAGGCCTCCTGTTCGCAATCAACCACCTGACGATCCGCCTTGGGTGGTCCCCGTAGTTGTGTGTCTGTCACGGCGTCTGCAATCCACTACGGTTGTAGGCGATCGTGAGTTAGTTTTAACCGCCTTTCTCGTTTGTCCGTTTGTTGCGGTTGGCGGTTGGTGGTTGATGTGACTCCGCAGGCCTGGTGCGAATGCGAATGCGGATCGTGTCGAAGGCGACCTGGGGAAGAGAGGGGGGGAGCAGACGCATGCACCCGCTCGGGCCGCTCAGGACGACTACGGACACCGGCGGCTTGATGACCAGCACCAGCCCCAGCAGCCCCACCAGCCCCAGCAGCCGCACCAGCCCCAGCAGCCCCAGCAGCCCGCTCGGCCGTGTGTGTGGGAGTGGAGTGATGTGGCGGCCACGGCGTTGTTCGGGGAGCTGCTGGACAACCTGAACCTGGCGGAGGAGGTGTGCCGGGCGTGGGGTGGGGTGGCGGCTGGGGGGTGGGGTTGGGGGTTGGGGGGCCGGGGTGGGGTGGGGGTTGTCTTTTGTGTGTGTGTGGGTGCGTGTCAGAGGAACCTAGTGACTCAGTAACAACGGGCCGTGGTACGACAGCCCAGGCGGGAATGTTTGGGGCTCTCCGCACCACCACGAGTACTCTCTCACCCTCTCACCCGCTTTCGTAATAACATGTTTTTCGCTTCCCGCCTTCCTGGAACGTTGCTGCTGCTGCTGCTGCTGCTACTGCTGCTGCTGCTGCTGCTGCCACGTTGGCCCCTCAGGGAAAGCTTCAGGAGATGGCTGTCTGGCTGAGAAAGCTGGTTTCGGAGGAGGAGGGGGAGGAGGCAGGCCGGGAGGGCGGGATGGAAGTCGGGTTGGAATTGGAGTCGCCGCCGCCGCCGCCGCCGCCACGGAGCGCCCCCGGGGTGGGAGGAGGGGGGACCGCCAACACCAACACCGCCAACACCAGCACCGCCGGTGGAGGTGGTGCTGCCGGGTGCGGGGTGGAATCGGCGCCGGCGGCCGCGGCCCCGACCTCGGGGTCTGCTGCCCCCCGGCTAAGAGTGCGGCTGGCGGGGGTGTCGAGGGAGTGGCTGCGCATATCCCGCAGGTGCGTCCGCAGCCGCAGTAGCGGGAGTAGTAGTAGCAGCGTTGTTCGCACTTTCCCTTCTTTCGTGTACGACACTTCCCATGCTGACTGTTTACCTCCTTCCGGCCGTGCACCTGCACCGCCTCTCTCTTGCGATTTCCCCCTCCCCCCCCCTTGCGACTTATCGCCGTGTTGCCTGTTTAGGCCTCTGAGGGAAACTGAGAGCCCCTTGGCAACGGGCATCTTCGCCGCACCCGTCACCACCACCACCACCACCACCAGCACCACGAAGCTACAGCCGACAGAGCTTCAACGAGCACAAGAGCAAGAGCCGCTGTCGCTACAGCCGCCACAGTCGCCACAGCACCAGCAGCACCAGCAGCAGGACCAAGTAACCCGGTTCGGGATAGGAGGGCTGCCCGACCGTTTGCTCGTTTCGTCTGTTGACCTGCATGAGCCGGCGGCAGTAGCGAAATCTGGCGACAACCCTGGTGACGCACCCGGCCCCAGCCCCGGCCGCGGGCCCGGCATGTCCCTGGGGGGCAGCCACGGTGTGAAGCGACCACCACCGGGCTCTGAAGCTGCGGGTCCTCCTTCTTCCGTTCTTTTCCCTCCCTCTTCTTCTTCTTTTGGTTCCGGAGCTGCCGCAGCAGCGTCTACGGCGGAGGCTGTTGTCTGCGGGGAGCTGTTAGGGGGTGGTGGGGGTGAGGATGGGGGTGATTTGGTTCGGCAGGTTAAGAGGCCTCGACCCGAGGAGCCGGCAACAACGGGCGGCGGGGGCGCGGGTGAGTGATCACGTCCCACGGGGAGTTTTAGTGATGTGGTCGCGACGGCGTGTGTATGCGTGTGTGTGTGAAGGAATGGGTATGCGTGTATGTATGTATGTATGTATGTATGTATGTATGTATGTATGTATGGATTATTATTGTTATTATGATGATGATATTGTGTAAATATGCTTCAGCGGAGGTCCAGGGTTGATGCCCCAGGGGGGGGCCCTGGTGGGGGGGGCCCCCGACGACCTCAACGCCAGGGTGTGTGTGGTGCCTCTCTTTTCCTTTGTGGTCCCTCCCTCCCCCTCCCCCTCCGTCCCCTCCTCCCTTTGGGAGGTAGGAGGGGGAGGAGGGAGACGATGAAGGGTATGCGTGTAAAAGGGGGACCGGGAGAAAAAGGGGGGGGGAGAGCGTAGCAGGGATTCTGAGGGGCGACTTGGGGTTCGACTCCCCGGCTGAGAGAGTCCATGACAGATCTCTCACATGAGATGGTATATGATATGGTATGATATGGGTGAAAGATCCTAGCAATAATGGGGAGGTGGAATCTTCTTAGGCGAGCAGCTTTTTCGATCCCGTTGATTACCTCCCTTATTATTAAGGAGCGTTTTTTGCTGCTTAAGAGGGAACACACAACTTTCGATCTCGTACTGGGATGTTATTTTGCCACGTTTGACACTGTTATAACTTAGGGCATGGTGGAGTTGTTGTGTCTTCGGTCCGCGACCACCTGTTGGTGCATCCTGTGGGATCTTGCATGATTTGTTCTCCACGGATATAGCTCCGTTTGGCGCTAGGCGCCAACAATTTTAACATTACGTGCGAGTCGGAACTGACCGACAGACTGCTGGGCTGGACCGCTTACCCTCTTTCTTTTTAAATAAAACATGGCTGACCGGCGCTGCGAACCTTGTTTTGGTTGATTACAGTTAATGTCGGTTAGTACGATCCGGTTTGTGATGGCTGGAATGGCTCAACGGTCTTGCAGCAGCGTTCCGATTCCGATTCCGATCGCCACCTTGCTCCGATCGGCACTTTCGGTGTCTGCGCCACCGCGAAACCGCGCGGCAGTCTTGTTGTCATCTCACTTTTGTTTTCGTGATGGAAAGATAAAAGATGTGTGATGTAACAGGGCCGCCCGAGGGCCATCTCAAGTCGCGTCAACCGAAGACAGCGCTGTGCATTTGGATTTGGAGACCTGATGGAGCGCACAGCGATTCTGTGTGCATGGCATGGCGCTTTTAGCATTGTGCTGTACACACACACACACACACACACCTCCGTACGACCTGCAGTCGTGTACCCGGAGCACCACCTCCCCGGACAACAACCGCGCTTTCGAAAAGCCTTTTCGAAAAGCCAATTTGACACACGACCATGCAGGTCGCTTGTCTCCGCGGCCGGTAGGTGCGCATGAGCTCGCTCTCTTTTGGTGGCCACGAGGCACCCTAAGTGGTGACCAAAGGGTTGTGGACCGTACGTGGAATAGCACCGTCAACAGAACTGACGGGCTTGAAAACAATGTTCCTCGGGGATGCGGCGGGGGGACGGGGGGGGAGGGTATTTGCGCCACCAAAAGCTGTCTGATGCTATCCAGCTCTGCAGGTCGTTTCTTTCTTCTCCTGCGCATGTTTCAGTTCCGGGATGTCTACTTCGCTATCCGAGATGCTATGAATCACGTGCCTTTCTGCGCAATTATATCGAGATCGTTTCCGTCACATGCAGCCCATGATCATGTAACATGCATCTATCCCGGCGAATATCCGTCTGGCCCAGCGGACGTCCACCTAACAAGAACTCCCTTCCTCCCCTTGTAATAAACGCGCCTGAGTCCTCAACCCAGCCTGTTATCGGACATGTCTTTGTTTAGATGGCAGGCCAAGAAAATATAGCTTACCTTCCAAAGTTTGCAGTTGCGTTTTTAATGAATTGAAAGTTTTGACAGAGAGGCAGCTTAATGGTAGCAAGAAGCTTACAGCACCTCGGTCGTTGATTCGCCGTGAGAAGTTTTGGGCAGATATGGTATGTTGAGATCATCATCTCCAGCATGGCGCTCCGTAACCTGCCTCTGACGCTCCGTAACCAACGCCAGTAATAGTACTTAAAAGATTTGGAGTGTAGGGCATCTGGAAGCATGCTGCGGGCTTTGGATAGCGCGTCAGCTATGAAATGCCGAGGTCTGACAAGAGGATATGGACCGGACGCCGGACATTCCTCTAACAGAACCTACGAGCTACTACCTCTTGAAGTTTCGCTTAAAGTGAAAAACATACGACCTGTGTATTGGCCACCGCGCCACAAACGCGTTGAAAATGCGTCAGCTGTGCTTTGCAGCATCATGTTGCTTTGACTTGCGTTATGACATGTGTGTAATAAGTGATGCAGAAATAATCAAATCTGCATCGATAATTTGCGTTGTCTACGAGGTCACTCTGGTTCTCGTTAGGTAGTTGAGTAACTTGGCGCAATACTGCTACAGTCGACCTGCAAGGTCAATCACCCGCCGGGTCAACAGCAACACCTGACAGTAGCTTTTCGTTGCCGCCCTCAAACGACCGCTTTCCGCTCATGTGTGTATTCCCGCGTTATTTGCGTTGGCGACTTCGCCGGGCGTCGGTTTGGCCGGCCGTCTGACTTCCGCTCGAAAAAGAGTTGTTGGGCCGCGTTCACCACACCAAAACTTAGGCCACCGGGAGGCATTCAACAGCTCCAACAATAAGACAAGGACATCTTCAGGTCATCAGCTCTCCTGCAGTGGGCGTGCAGCAAAATGAGCAAGGGGCATAGGATGGTCACCCATGCGGCTGTGAATTATATACGTTCGCCGGAACAAGATTGCCTGACCTGACGGCGGGTCGTCAACCCTAAAAAAAAAGTGATAAAAAAGTGCAGACAGTTATGGAAGGCTTCTTCGGCATTTGGGGATCGCGCTGGAATGTTCGAATGCAAGCCTGGGGGTTGGGGGCCAAACAGTTAGTTACCGGTAGTTGAAAACCCTGGATTAGGGTCCGCGTTTTGCGACGTTTCTGGATTCGATAGTGAAATCTTCGAAAGCGTACGGCCAGTCCATCTTCTGTGGCGCCCGCGTGAAAATGAATTTGGACCAAAGTTTGCTCGCGGCATGTAGCGGTTGCGTACATCTTGTGGACGTACCTAAGTGAGATTCAATTAAGCTCCTGCAATTCAAACCTCATGGAAATTATTGGGGAGTAGTCGATGGAGAAACCGGCGGCGAAACGGTCGTACAAAGTTCGTTTTCGGGGTAGGGGAATAGGCGGTATCGAGGAGCAAGCGCTCTGGGATTAAAGTTACCCGGAGGTTAGTTCTACGCCACATGCTCAATGCGTTAGATTCTTCATCGTTAGCATTAAACAATGCTGTATATAGTTATATCAAAACATGCAAATGAGCAAACCGAAGATACCTCATAACCGGCGACAACCACTTTACGTTTAACCCCAAGGCGAAACTTCTTTAAAACATACAGGTGCGTTGATTGCAGCAGCTATTAAGAGGGGCGGCATCAGGCAGGTTTGCGCTCGAGACCGTCAATATTTGATGACGGTATCCGGCGCCACAATAGAATCCGCAAAATTGTCTTAGCTTTCGGCAATGGGAATAATAACTTTCATGTCGTCCTCCGTTCTGGATGGCAGTTGCCGGTATTGAGGATGTCAATTGGATAGGAGTTAAAAGTACTGGCAGTCTGGCACGACCTATCCAAGAAACGGTGACTTTCACGTAAAGCAGAGGTTTTTAATGTGTATGTTTCAACGATATGGAATAAAGCATTATCGTTATTAATGCATCGGTCAGGCAGTCAGGCATTACCAATATGAACGTACGTCGCGAACTGCTGTTCCCGCGTCTTTAACACGTTTCCAAGAGATTCACTGCAATAATACCGAGCTACTCCTGAAAAATGTCCATAAACGTTGCATTTTACCTGGAATACTAACTAATGGCACCTACCGCCTCAGGTTGCACGCCACACAGACATTGCCGACAGCGTCAAGCAATACGGCACCTCAGCAGTATGGAATTCAACAGACAACATAGACGATGTGATGATTTGGTAAAAATTCCAGTGGAACTGCTACAGGTGGGAGCCTGGACAGGTCTGGGCCTGGGCATCCAGGCCAGTTAGCGGGGCATTTCTGCGCTACGAGGCACCCTATTCCGCCTGTCCCTCTTTACCAGAAGATCTGATAACAGTTGACTTGCCGATATTTGACGATGGGCTTTTCGCAATTTTGCCACAGTTGATTTTTAAAGATGTACCTTGCAAGTTCACGTTTCGATCAACCTGCAAGGCTGTTTCAAATGCCTTGGCTCAAAGTTGTATCACCATTCTGCTACGGCGGTCGGCGCTTATTGGACGTGGGTCACGGTAAGGCCTGCTATCTGTCGGGGCCCCCATCGCAAACATTCTGTTCCACCTCGCTCACAAGGCGGCAATATAAATGTATTGCTGCTTCCACTACCCTTGTGGAACTCTGTGTTCTGCCGCCCTGTCTTGCTCGCGTTGGCATAGATAAGTTTGAACTTCTAACCGAGTCGCATGCCGGAACCGGAACGCTGGTACAGTGTCGAGGAGTTTACAGAGCTACTCCAAACTCCTTGGCCCTTTACACATGTTCTCGGACAACTACTTGCACTGCACAACTCAATCGGCTCAACCTCTCCTCTGACCTTCCTGTGTACCAATCGGTTATCGCAGGCGTGAGGTTGCGGACGCGCTCGCCGCCTTCCCCAGTGCCAGACGCGTAGTAGTCGACCTTGAAGGCAGACACCAGCCCCTTCGCTCGGCTAGCTCGCCCCTCTTCGGCTGCAGCGGCGAAGCCCGTTGTGATGCTTTCCACGGCCCGGACCGCTCCTACGCCTCCCACCCGTCAAGTCATGTGACCCCAAGTGACGAAGAACTGCTGCACGAAGCGCTGCTGGCGCTGCAAGGTTGCAGCATCTCCTCCTTGGCTATCCTGCACCTCGCCTGCCCGCCACCACCGCCCGCTGCCATCGCCCATCTGCGATCTTCGCTCGTCGAGCTGGAGCTCTCCGACGTTTCCTATTCAAGCGCCGTTGAGCAGGGCGCCTTCAACGTCCTGGTTCGCCAGCGACGCCCCATATGCGCCTGCAGCGACGCCATGATACAACTTGCTATTTCGCTACCCCAGTTACGGCGCCTGTCCCTCGCCAACGCGGCCTTCAGTGCAAGCAGCGTCACGGAGCTCGCACGCCTGACGCGTCTGGAATCTCTAAGTCTTGTAGGCTCCCTGGAGTGTTCTGGCGGCGTGGCCGAGGCTGCTGAGACCTACCGCTGTCTGCTACTGGCGCTGGGAACCCTGCGGCAACTGCGGTTACCCATGGCGATGCCCTCCCCAAGCACGGCACTCTTGGACTATGACGAGGATTTTAACGGGGAAAGGTACGACGGCGGTGGCGGCCGTGCCGCTGACGAAAACGATCTAGTTGGGGGTCTGTCCGCTGGCGGCGGCGGTGGTGGCGGCGGTGGCGGCGGTGGCGGCGGCGGCACCGTGAGCTCCGACGGTGATACTGGTGGTGATACTGGTGGTGGTAATGGAGCTCTCCGCATGATCCGTCTCGAGCTGAATCACAGCCACCACAACGGCAACGGCTGGCTGTACGGCGGCAGTACGGCGCGTGCCACACCGGGAGCACGGTGGGGCCTGGGAGGAGGCAGCACGAGCTGGAAATCTGAGGATAGGACGGCGGCCGGGGGCCTCCTTGGCCCCCCGCCGCTGCCGTTGCCGTTGCCACCACCTCCTCTCCCGCCGCCAGTCGGCCTTTGGCACCACTCTGTATCAGCGAGTGCCGGCAATGCAGTTAGCCGGGCTCTCGCTGGAAATGGTTCCTCAGTGCCGTTCTTCGGGTTCGGTGTGGGAGCCCAGGCAGATCCCGCGTGCCTTATTACAGCTCACACAGCATCCGGTCGGAGAAGATCCGCTGCAGTCGGCACAGCGGCGGCGACGGCAGCTACCGCGAGCAACGCACTGCACACCGCCCTAGCTCAGCAGGACCGACAGCAGTGGAGACAGCACCACCACAACCACCAGCAACAGCACCATAAGCACCATAAGCAACAGCACCAGCTTGCAGCCGGTTTCGTCTTTCCCCCGCACCTTCAGGACCTCACCATTCCCATCTGCTCGCTGAACCGACCCGTGTTCGAGGCGGTTTGTGAAGCGTACGGCAATGGCGGCAGCCTGCGCGCTTTGCACCTCCCTGCACTTGGCGGTTACTCCCACTGGGAGGGGAGCTTCCTGGCGTCACCCCGGGACTTCGTGCAACTGGCTCGGCTACAGGAACTGGAGCAGCTGCATCTGAGCTTGGATGTTGGAGCTCTGGGCCTGAGCCACGTGGGCTTGCGGGTGTGCTTCCAGAACCTGCGAGCGCTGCGCAACCTGAAGGTGGGGGGCTGGGTGGTGCCTGGGGTTGGGTGGTGGTGCCTGGGGTTGGGTGGTGGTGCCTGGGGTTGGGTGGTGGTGTTTAGAAAGCAAGCTGTCGGCGGCATCATGTGCATGACGACCGGCTTATCGGTGTGGGTCGAGAGGCCCATGAGATGTGTCATATACCTCACCCACCTCTTGATACCTGGGTGTTACTGCCAAAGTAAGTAACAGAGTAACTGTTTGCTGTACTGCTGCTGTTGTTTTAGCTTAATGCGTGTGGCCCCACATGTTGGCCCCACATGTAGATTTCCTCTTCCGCTCTGTTTCTTTTTCAACGTCATAAACGGATCCAACATGGGGCCAACATGTTTTCCTTTTTCCTACTACTGTTTTTACTATTAATTTCTTTATTTTCACTGCTATTTTTGATGTAATAATGTATTATGCCTTTCAGGAACTTCGTATCACGGAGGCGCAACAACCCACCTGCTTCTCCGTACGCAAACGCTCCGTCGCGTACCGGCCTCCCGCGCTCCGTAGTTTCGGGGCGGAAGCCGTTTCGGTGGCGGCGGAAGCGGAAGCGGCTTCTTCGGAGCTTTCTGGCCCGGCCTTGAAGCAGCTGCAGCGGCAGTGGCCGCAGCTACACACGTTGCAATTCTTCTCCGAAACAGTGGTTCGCAGTGGCAGTAGCAGCAGTGGCAGCAGCAGCAGTGGCAGTAGCAGCAGTGGCAGTGGCAACAGCAGCAGCACTGGACAGCTGCACGTGCCCAGGGGGATCGATGACGTGGATCTGCTGCCGGCCATGTGTGCTTGCTGTACGGCACCGTGTTTGATGGCGGTACAGCAACTGGCCGTCGGGCGCTGGGGAAGAGGTAACCCGCACTGGGCTGCCGACGCTGACGTGGCGCCGCCGCCGGCATCGGCGCCGGAGTTCCCTCAGTCGCTGGGGGCCACCGGCGGCGGCGAAGATGGTGGTGGTGGTGGTGATGATGTGCACATAGCGCCTCTTGATTTTGCTGAACCTCAACATGGGAAGCATGTCGCAGTAGCGGCGAAAGCTAGCGATGTATCGTCACGCGGTCTGAATGTGAGAGAGCTTTGTTAGGCTTCATCAAACAGCCCTGGCCATCCGCACTCACTCGTCCGATTGTACTGTACTATTGCAGTACGGGTGCCGTACTGGAGCAGGAGTATAACCGATATCCGTTCATAAACGACATTCCTTCTTGAGAGGCGCATGGATGGCTTCTCCACCGGCATTTTTGCCACCTGCAGCGGCGTTCTTCACTGCATTCGCGCCATTCATGTATTCCTTTCTTCGTAAGGGTTAGTTTTCCCTGGCTTCTATTCTATCCATGTATTTAGATGTGTGCATCAACTGCTTTAGTTAACAGCAGTCCATGTCGGGTACCATTTCCCCCCGCTTTTGCTGGCGCGGGGGGTTTGGTGAGACAGTTACACTCCTCCAGGGGTCCTTCAGGACATGCTGATTTCCCAAGATGATGAGAAACCCTAAAAGTTGTTGGTCAGTTGGGGCAAACGCAGCCAGTTTACCTACTACTACTACTACTACTACTACTACTACTACTACTACTACTACTACCTGGGAGTCGGGCTGCACGTGCCTCCCTCCCTCCCTCGCGACCCCTAGGGAAGGAAAGGTGTTCGTCGTTGATGAGTCGTTGTTGTTGCAGTAGTGTCCCAGTTGCAATACCTGGAGAGGGGGGAGAGGTGCGCGGCAGCTTGTGTGTAGGGGGTATGTACAGGGTGTTCGGGAACGAACGTGTACAGAAGGTGTCAGGAAGGGGAGCATGCATGCGGGTGTGTCTCGGGCTATTTCTACGGGTGGGTGAAACGTCCTCCTTTGTTTGGCAAAATCGGTCCGTGACTCCCGACCCCGCTGCTGCTGCTCGTCGAAGAGGTTTCCTTTGAAAACAGGGTTGACAGGTGTTCTGCATGTTTGGTATGATGTCGCTTGGATGGATGTGTGTGATACTTGGGTCTTTGCATCCGCTCGACACACACACACACACACACACACGCACAGACAGACACACAGACACACGCCTGCCTGGTGTGTGTCGTTCTTTCCATCATCCATATTTTTCTGTTGCATGGTTTGTCATGGTGGTGCTGATTGCATAATCCATTCTAAAGAGCTTTAAGTGGTTGTGATTGGACATCGTGTCGATTGTGGCGGTTGAGCTTCTGTTGGACTACTCAGCGTTGCGCTACGGACCCCCCCCCCACGTGTCGTATTACTGTTGTCACCATGCACCGGTAAATGGTAGGTATAAGTGTCGGTCATTATTATCCAACAACAAACAGGTGCAGCGCGTGTGCGTGTGCAGCAGCGGTTTGCGCCTTTGGTGGCGCAGTTGCAATGCAATGGAGCAGTTTAGCTGGAGAGTTTAGCTAACCCACCCACCATTCGTAATTTTGACTGCATCATGAACTGCCGTACAGTCCTTTTTCGATTGGTTTAGTGCCCAGGAGGATTCGGGATGGCGTTTCTTTCACAGTTGAATCTCGCAGTAACACCAACAACAGCAGCCGACCATACATACATATATACATACATACATGCATGCATATCAACCTTTGACGACTTAACGTCTTTTTCCCGTTTATCCTCAAAAAGAAATCGTTATGTAGACGTGCCTCGTGGTGGATATATCTCTATACATGTTGGCTGGCATCAGAATTTCCGCTCTTTTTGTGGTTGTTCACTTGCGGTTGACCCGGCAATAGACGTGGACAGCAGTTGTGGCAGTTGGACGGGATTGGGCGCATCATGTCACATCTGCACATCGGGGGGTATTATGACCCGCACCGCTGCGGATATGCGAGAGAGGGCAAGGGCGAGAGAGGGCACATCACAGTTCTGTATTTCCTCAACATACTGATGTATACTGTGGGCGTATCACGGGATCTGCCGATATCCGCCGATTGGTCCTTTTCTGAAGTCGTGATATTACACACATAAGCACGTTACAGTAGTAGCAAGGCTTCACACACACACGGAAGAGGTGTGCCTAAGGGGTGCCGAAGGAAATGATTGATGAGAATTTATTGAATGATGTCAATGAAGAGGTACATGGACGTCTGTCTTCATGTTCAACAGGTTCCTAACCCTGCAGCCGAGGCATTGTTTTGATAATACTGCTTTTGTTGGTCTGCAAGGCAAGGTGACGTCTTCCGGTCGGGTCGGCAGTGTCGTGTGCGAGGAAGGTGCGGACGCGTGTCTCTCGTGTGTGGGGGGGGGGAGTAAGGGTAGGGAAAGAGGAGATATCTGTTTATGAGGTTGCTGATAGACCGCCATTAGGAAATGTGATTATAAGAAACGAGTGACGTTCTATAAATATACATTTATGGTGGTGGATCCGATCAGTTCACAGTTTGCGGTGGTGGCCCCGCATAACCCCAACACTTCTGTCTCATAGGCCAACACTACTGGACACTACCTACAACAGGACCTGGGATGAAGGGTGATTGGTTTCTTATAACAGTTCTGGCAGCGGCAGTGTCTGCTGCGGATTCCTGTGGCGCGGAAGTCCCTCTGGCCCATCCTGTCGTAGGTCAGTGGTGGTTATGCGGTTCCACGCCTCGCACCGGAACCCGCTGCAGGTGGTGCAGACATTGTACCACCTTTCATCGGTACCGGATTCTGCTGCAGCGCTCTGCAGCGCTCTTCTTTAAGTTGTATGCGTTGTACAGTTTTAGAGCCTTCAAAGATAGTATGGCAGGCTGTAGATTCTGGTACGGCTTTAACCCATTTGAAATGTATACCTCGCCGGGTACATGATGCAATGCTGGTGTGATTGTGTGATGCGCTGGATGGATGGCTTTTGTGACGCGGGCGCTTCTTGTCGCGAAAGAGCATGAAGGGGGGGGGGGGCAGGTTTGTTAGGGCAGGAGTGCTTAACCATCAGTCTTATCTCTTTTTATCTCGACATGTCATATCGCGGGTCGTTTTGTGCGTTGCGGCTGCTTGGCACCTCGTATGCGATGGCAACTTAGTGGTGATGCCTCGGATGTCTGTCTGTCTGTCTATCTGTCTGGAGACTGATTGATGCTCAGTCCCGCTCAGTCCCTACTCAGTCGATGCTTCCATCTGGGTGCCGTACGGGGGTGCTGTATGTCCGCCGTTCCTTATAGCATGCAGACATGCCGGGGGACTGCGGCGAGCTATGCAGGGGGCAGCTGGGGGGAATAATCTAGTGGGTGGGAGCTCAACTGCAGCAGCTCCACACGTACTCGTTCAGTTGCGTGCAGGCTGCCGGTACGTGCGTATACACCGTACCTCACAAGGCAAACTTATTGAAGCCTTAGAAGCTATATATACATTATAAACCTGTTTAAGCATTTGTTGAGGTGGGGCGGCTGCATACGAGCGAGCGCGACGTTTCGTTGCAGACCTCTAGATCTACGGCCTATCTCGTGCATACAGCACGCACTCCATCTGAACGTCTTTTCAATGCATACCGAAACACACTATATCAGCATAATTTGTTTGCAATGCATCATGTACTCCACATCAGCATGCCTTTTTAATGCATCATAGTTTAGGTTTGTTCCTTTCCTTCATGTGGCCACTGTTCGGTGACGTTTTTGTACGAAACCGTATTGTAAGGGCGTTTTGTCCACATCATCTTTTGGTGCTGGACAGCGCGCGGAAGCTTGTTTGGGAACACTTAATCAGAACGTTGGAAACATTTGTTCGGAACGTTTGCGCCACCAAGGTGGCGGTGTTGGTGGTGGCGGTGTTGGTGGTGGCATGTGGCCGACCTTCTGATCGTCGTGCCCGGAACTTTTGGTCGCGACTTTTGTGCCATCAACATGTACAAACCCTATGCCTGTACCCACACACGCCTGGACACCCTCCCAGCAGCAGCTGGTATCCTATATCTAGCCGCTTTGTTGGCAATGTGCGGATGTGGGAGGAAATTAGTCGTGATCATCGTGATTTCATCATGTTGGTTGGGTTTCATCATGTTGGTTGGGTTTCATCATGTTGGTTGGGTTTCATCATACTTGTCAGTTGGGACACCAGGTAAAAATGTGTGAGTGTTATGTTCTTGCTATCGGTGCATTATTAAGAAGCCGCCGCTTGGCGCTGCAGTGGAATATCATTCACCCCATCAGGTGTCCTTCTAGACGTTTCCCCTATCTTGGGCTTTGAACTGACTGGCTGGTCTTAAAGATCCACCGTGTTGTACCTGAAGAGAAGAGTATGTTGAGGAGTCAAGCAACCTGATCCATGCAAGCTCCCAAGAAGGCCCCCAATCCACACGGATCATAAGGGGGCGGCTTTTGCCCCTGCAGCAAGGAAAATTGTAAGACCATGGATTCACCTCAACGGTTTTGCTATTCTGGATTCATGGCGTGTCGACAGATCCTACACACAACTTCACACAACGTTTTGAATGATATTGTATAGGCAGGACAATATTGTATAGGCAGTACGATATGCTTTCAAATGACGGTACGCCTCAAAGTCGCGCGGTTCGGTGGTGTAAGAGATTTAAGACCACTAGGGCACCCAGGTGCGGTATGCAGTATATGGAATGTTCGGCCAGAAGCGCTTACAGGTACGAGTTGCGGTGATTACTAAAACACATGTACATGGACGTATCTGTGCTGATGTGCCCCGTGCCGTCACGTGGTCCGTCAAGGAAGTGTAAAAAAGGTAAAAATATGCGTTCGACTCCATTTTGCTTGTCACCGTATGAGATAGTGTGATCGCGGCGGCGCGCGCTTCGACTCGAGTTGCTGTATTATTATATTATTATGGGCTCCAGATCTGGACCGCAGGTCTCTTCTCAAGACGGCGACGACGAAGCACGTGGTACACGGCAAAGTCGTGTGGGTTCCCTGGACTGACTGGTGGAGCTGCCTCATGGACTCTAAGTGTTGTAGTGCAGTGCAGTGCAGTGCTACAGGCCCGTGAAGTATGTCTCAGGCCGGCACTGCCCTGACCACGGTATAAGACCGCGCTCCGAACGTGAGTAGAATATGAACTCTCAAACAATCCACGTCCGTCCTGTGAGCAAAGACGATTTCGGTAAGTTTATGGATTTTGGTGAGGCTGTCGTACCAATTCTTGATGTACAGTTCCGGTGAATTCGTACAAACGTTTCCTTGACAGCCATGTCAGTTTCAGAAGATTTCATAATCATAATTGATTCGCATATTTCTTAATAAGCTCATCATTACTGACAGCTATCGCGCTACAACACTAAGGTCATGGTCAGCGTTAAGCCTGATAACATATACAGTGTACTGCTGGAGTACGGACATCCGTCGTACCACGGCATGATGTGCGCAGTGTTTGACTTCCAGGTTGATGCTTGGCGGGCGCACTGCTTGCCGACGAAGCCCGGTGTGCCCGGATGTTATTGGGGACAGACATGTAAGGGGCTTGGAACATGGAAGGTCGCCCGCACCATATGACGCAGAGGTGCACTTATGTCATTACCACGTAGCATTAGGGACGAATAATGTGATGGTGGCTCGTATGGAGGATACATACGCATGCTTATGTGTATAATGTATTATAAGTAAATAATCACACTTTGTGACAAGGTCACCCTAAAAACCCTAAAAAACCCTAAGTCAACCTCAAAAGGAAAAATCTCTTTTGGGCCACAATATTATCTTTATGATTTTCTTTTGTTGTTTAAAAGGAAAAGGCTTATATTATAATTAGCTTTAAAGCATCTGTAATTCCATGTATATATTTACGCGCTGAAAAATCTATGTAACTCCGGTATGGGGTCATGGACTGTTGTTGTTTTTGCCGGGATCATTTGCCGCCGGGATCATTTGCCGCCGGGATCATTCTGTGGCCCTTCGGACGTTCTTTTGTTGCCTTTGTGGAATGTTGGGGTGTTGTCGCGCGGTTGCAAAGGAATGGGTGCAAAGGGATTTAGGCGTTGCCGAGTGGGGGGAAGGGGGAGAGGGAAAAAGGGGAAAGAGAACAGTGCAGGAGGTTCACAAGGCAAAGTGCATGGATGACTGTGGCTGCGGGCCCTTGGGCCCCCTCCCGGCGCGTATGGGGCCCTAGGGTACACCTTTGGAAAATAACAGAGAGTAACAACTTCTGAAGGTGTAGGACCCCCCCCCCAGGCCCCCCCCCCACATCATGGAGAGGGTTTTGAAGGGAGCATCCATCGCGGTGGAGCGCACAGACAGCTACCACATTCCCGGCAGGCTTTGCACGCTTCCCAGGCGGTCTGCGAAAGGCGTAGTGTTCTGAAACTCGGCAGCTGCGAATCGCTAAAGGCTGGTTCCACAGCCCAGACGATGACCTCTTGAAGGGATACGGATTCTGGGCCTCAATCATGTTCAGTGCGGTATCTGTCGAGCCACGCTCGAAAGGCCATGCTCCGTGATTATCAAGGGCCTGGCCCACGCCTAACACAGCACCTGCCAACACTGCACACCGTATGCTCGCGCCTGAGCCCCGTTCATTCACAGGCCCGTACAACAATTCTACAAATCGGCTCCTCGCCGGACTGTATGAGCACCGAGGTAAGGCACGCGGTGACATAAACACATCAATTTTTTTGAGCGTATTCCATCAACGCTGCCTGGCAAGCCAGGCAAATCGGTGCAACTCCACTTTGAAATATTACCACAGTGGTAGTTTTATCCAGTTTTCCAAATTTTACGGATTGTACAGGCAAACGTTTAGGTGTTTTGTTGTTGGGGTGTTACACTGTGGGCGGCTCGCCCCGAGAAAAGGACGAGCACCGGGCGCCCTGACCGGGCCGAAACACAGCGCAGGGGCAGGCGCGCGGCTCTACGTCTGTCTGTTCCTTCGCAAACAGAAATAGAGTTCCGGAAGCCGGCCGGCTTGCAGAAATAGGATCATACTCCGTATTCGAATGTCAAACTATTGCCAAAACGCATTTTCATTCCGTGGCCTTGTAACAGATATTGTACTGGAGGACAAAAATAGACCCGTTCCCGAAACCAGAAATACCCCGTTTGCCAATGTCTGGTTTGGATGGATGGATGGATGTTACAAGCTTAAGCGAGCTCGTACGGCTCAAACGAACCCGGAGGCTCATGAACTTCTTTGACAGCGCCGTCGATAGGGCCGACGTCTGGTCTGGAAAAGAAGTTTGTAGTATGAGTACCGTACAGTACGGCGGAATTTTCTCCATATTTACAGCAGCAAAGTAGCACATAGTCCAATTGTAAGTCTTATATCTCATCAACTAATCCTATTCAGATGGCTGCGTCTCTTACCGTTTAGAAAATCATGGACAGTGCAGTGCGCATGATACCGGTAGTGACGGAGTGACGGAGCTGCGGAACCTTTCGCGCAGGGTTGAGATCCTTTCAGGTAAGGTGGAGACCCTTTCGGGCGAGATGCACACACTATCGGACAGGCACTGACTAACCAAGTTGGAGTGCTAGTCGCCAAGCAGCATAACTCTTCGAAGTGATTTGCTGCAGAAGTGTCCACTTCTTGGTGGCTCTCATCCTGAAGGGGACTACCCGAGAACGGTCACGCAGCTCACGTGGCTTGGAACGAGGCGCTGCCAGACGGTTCAAGTAACATGTGGAACAGGCACAAGCCTCAAAGTCTGCTACATGAATACCAGAAGGACAGCAGAGAAGAGTGCAGCACCGATGAGCAATCATTGAGTTCCAGCACAAGGAGACTAAATTTGGCTCGCTGTTGGGGTATCTTAAACGTGCAATTACATTATGCACAAATGAGCCTTTAATCGGACTCTTGCTATTCATGGTCTGCAGCTGTGAAGCTGCACGCCCAGCACTGCTGCACTGGTCGTCTGTGGACAGCAAGAGGTCGTCTGTGGACAGCAAGAGTCCAACTAAAGGCTCATTTGTGCATAATTTAATTGCATATATGCGATACCCAAGCAACAAGCCAATCTTAGTCTCCTTGCACTGGACCTCGATGATTGCTCAACGTTGGTGCTGCTCTCTTCTCCGCTGTCCTCCTGGTTTTGATGTAGCAGACTTTAAATAGACTTGTGCTTGTTCCATGTGTTCCTTGTCCCGTCTGGCAGCACCTTGTTCCCAGCCACAGTGAGCTGCACCACCTTTCTCTGGTAGTCCCCTTCAGGATGAGAGCCATCAATTGCAAGAAGAGGAACCTTCTGCAGCAAATCACTTTGGTTCACCGAAGAGTTATGCTGCTTGGGGACTAGCACTCCAACTTGGTTAGTCAGTGCCTGTCCTTTGTTTGATAGTGTGTGCATCTCGCCCGATAGGGTCTCCCCCCTGCCTGAAAGGGTCTCAACCTTGCCTGAAAGGGTGTCCACCCTGACTGAAGGGTTCCACAGCTCCATCACAACGGGAATCATGGCCTTGCTCACGGCCTTGTCAATGATTTTCTCAATCTGCTCAACTGTAAGAGATGCAGCCATCTAAACAGGTTGCACTCCCTCACTCATGCCAACTGGGATGCTCTCCCAGCCCCTGGCTAGGCCACGCAGCGGCACAGAAGACTGCAAACCAAGCTAAGCGAGAGCTGCACAACAGGCACCACACCACTCTGGGAAACCTAAACAAGCTATCTGCCCCCACTACACCTGGCCAGCCTAATCATGCACTCTCATCCCTCTTGACTGCCAAAACAAGAACAAGGAGAAAACACCACTGGGGGCAGGGGCTCTACTCAGGGGGCTCCACTACACTCTCCAAAAACCGAGGCAAGGGAAGACCTACCCACATCAGGTACGGCCCCTCAGTAGACTCTCCTAGACAAGGACCCCATGCACCCAGCAAGGCAAGAGATACACGGAGGATCACGGGCCTGAGATGCCACACCACAAAAGCCGAGACATGGTTTCACCAAGAAGACAAACATAACATGGGCACTTGCACACTGGTCCTTCAAGGCCAGCTGCTCACTTATCACAAGTAATGCACACCTCCTGAAGGCGGCCACCACTACCTCACCGGTCCACTCACAACCGAGGCAGAAAACTGGTCTGTATGGCAGTCTTCTCCTGGGGTGGCGGGCGTCTGGGTGCAGCCCAGTGTAAGAGGAGCGCACAGACAGGTATCACATTCCCGGCAGGCTTTGCATGCTTCCCAGGCGGCCTGTGAAAGGCATCGTGTTCTGAAACTCGGCAGCTGCCGATCGCTAAAGGCTGGTTCCACAGCCCAGACGATGACCTCTTGAAGGGATACGGATTCTGGGCCTTAATATGTTCAGTGCAGTATCTGTCGAGCCACGCTCGAAAGGCCATGCTCCGTGATTAGCAAGGGCCTGCCCCATGCCTAACACAGCACCTGCAAACACTGAACACCGTATGCTTGCGCCTGAGCCCCGTTCATTCACAGGCCCGTACAACAATTCTACAAATCGGCTCCTCGCCGGACTGTATGAGCACTGAGGTAAGGCACGCGGTGACATACACACATCAATTTTTCTCTGAGCCTATTCCATCAACACAAGCCAAGTTAAATCGGGGTCTGCGACTCCACTTGAAATATTACCAGAGTGGTACTTTAATCCAGTTTTCCAAATTTTACGCGTAATACAGACAAACGTTTAGGTGTTTTGTAATGGCAGCGGTACCTGCTGGTTTATTTATTATTCATACATTGAAAGTATCAATTCGGGAACCCTGACTGTTGGCTGACAACGGTAAAATGTTCCGACTAGGCAGCAGGAATGCAAAAAGCTCTTTAAGGCAACTTCCAGAAAGACAGGTGATTATTTAAAGCTTGCTATGCACACCTGAAACATTGCATAGAGAGCCACATGTTGCTTGTCAAGCGTGGGCTATTAACATGACGAGCTCGCCATACAAATGCACGGCTTGCAAAAATGATTGCTTATAACATCATAACGTTCAATACTTCTCAAATGTCACCTCATCCCTCAGAACATGGCTGGACGAGCAAGAAAGGCATAAAATGGAAAAGAGCGACCACCATAATCATAAAATAAATATAAAGCAAAATCTTTCATCAGTTCGACTGCAGGCAATATCGGTGCGATGTGGGCTGCACAGGACAAAGTTGCGTCTCGCGAAATCTCTGTCGTGAAATCGTGTACAACGAACATTCCACTCCAACAAAGTCACCTAGGCGCTCCCTCAGCAAATTGTGTAGATACGTCTCCTACACCTTGTGCGCTTTTTGAGGTGTCCTTACTGGTGAATTTCCCCTTGTCTATTTGACCTTCGTTGTAGACCCTGCGAACACGAGTGCGTGTTGGGGACCTGAGCTTACTATCTTACCATAGCGCAGTGGAAAGCGCTATTCTCCTTCATCCAGGTCTAGACATTACTTCAAGGGCGAATGCCAGCGCTGTTTGTCGACGACTCGGCGGCGCGCGCGGAACCTAAGAATTGCCTCTTTATTGGGGCAAAAACGCTAAATACAGACGGCACAAGCTCCCTGTGCGAAGTGAGGCGCTTGGCATGCCGAAATCCTTTTGGATATTCTTTTCAATCGTTATGCTTGAACCCGCCCAAATTGCGGGATTTGCGCCGCTTGCCCTGCTAATATGGTGGTTCACAACTGCTTCATGAACAGGTTCTGGTGGCTGGACAAGTTCTTACAGGCGTCTACGACCCAGCCAGGCGACATCTTACTGTTCCGTGCACAGTGTCTAGCAAGCTCTACGACCAACCAGAAGCCGTAAAAGCCCTCGTATGCCGCTGCTACACCATCGTAGGAGCTGCGACTGAGTTCGTCGCGCTGCTTGCCGCCGAAGGTGGAGCGACGATATTGTTGCCCAGGTAAGGACCTTGCTTACAAACGCTTATCGCGGATCAGCGGAACACCATGCAAGATGTGTAGCGAAATGACCCTACCCTCTTATACGTTCCACGTGCCTTTGCGTTGCCTTTGGGCGACCCTAGCCTCGATTAAGGAACGACGACTGAAGAACTCCTCGTTTCCTTTCCGTACCCAATCCTACCGTAACAGAGAGGGTGCTTCTAACGCGAGTGAGATCCGCGTCCGTGCGGATACCGCGGACGACGAAGTGGCTGTCACCGCGGAAAACTCCGTTGCTTTTGCACATGGCCCGGACCCCTACATCGCTCTGCAAGATGCTGTCCGATTGCTGGCCAAAAAAGCAGGTTCGTTGTTTATCACAGCGGACTTTTTGCATGTTCATAGCCAGTCATGAGTCCCCTTGGCCCTTTACCCCGACAGGTGCCCAGTTCAAGGACGTCCAGGCTTACGTCCTGCCAGTGCTGGACGCTGCAAACCGGCTGAGGTTCGACGCGCCACTGGCTCCTTTGAAATCCTCTGCAATGCTTTCAAGCTCTGCGTCCCTCACAGCAATGCTGGAGCAGCAGCTGCACGAGGGTATCCTGGTGCAGGTCGGTACAACGCAGATTAGCGCGATTACTGGAGAACTATGTGGGTTGTGTGTACTGCACCTGCTAGCAATGGTATTTTCTATGTCAACGATGCTGTCGTGCAAAAGAAGGGTTCCAGCGTTTTTTTCAGGCGTGCTGTCCTTCCCCAGCTCTGACGCCTTGACGGCTTGGGTCTGTTATTGCATCGCGGTGATGTATGCTTCTTCTTCTGGCGCATTCTGTGCCAATCACTGATGGTGCCTCGCTTCTGCTTGCTTGTCTTGCAGGCGGGGCCCGGGTGCCCTGCGAAGCCGCTGCTGCAGGCGCCTTGTCTACGCGTCTGCCAAGGGTTGGGTCTACGCTACTCCGGCATGTGGGTTTAGTTCGCTTTGGGTTTTGGAGGAGCTTGGGGGGATACATTAGGGGCTTCCTGATTAGGAGCCTCAGCGCATTAGGAGATTGTGCTGAAGGGCAGCAGCTAATTTGTTTGCTAGAGCCAATGGACCAGTTTATTATACCGTTGTGTTGACTTTAAATACGTGTTAACTTTTAATACGAACCTACCTACGGCCTAAGGTAGGCTAATGAAGATCAGGGATGTGGGTCACGGCAGGACTTGTTGCGCGCTCGCGCACGCATGACTTCGGTTGCTTCTTGGATATCGTGCGAACAAGGAAAACACCCGCGCGCATTTTTGCATGGCTTTAGCCGTCATCCTGCTACGTAGGCCATATCTTTACAACATGCAGCACGCATTATGGGCTCCCGAAAGTATGACTTCCAAATGCATGCCTGTCTATTATGTGTGCAGGAGCGTGGTTTACGGCACTGCCACTGGGCAGGTCCTGGCGGTGATGGAGACGGCGGCGGCGCTGAAAATGGCTCCTGTGGGCGGACTCCGTCCCTGGGGATCGACCGTCTCGCTTGGTCGCCTCTGCAGCGGCGCTGACTCGCCGTCGGCTGTCTCAGCGGGCGCTTCAGCAGCCACATCGACCACCCCGTCCCCCAACCTGTCACGCGCTAACAGCAGTCACGGCGATGCAGCGGTTGTGGACGCACTCGAGTCGCTGACCATCAACCCGCCGGTTGCAAGTACGCCGCGCCCAACGACGTTGGTGCTGTCTGGTCGCAGCATAACCGCTGCGCCGATTATCAATGTGCAGGCGGCGGCACCGCTTGCGTCTGGGAACTGTAACGATGGCAGCCGTGCTGGTGGTCTCGTGGCTAGTTCAACCACACCGACTGGTGCCCCTGCACAAGTCCTTGCGAGCTTTGCGTTGCTGGGGTTCAAGACGGCGGGCGGCCGCATAGCCGCCGTGCAACGCTGCCGCATCATGCCAGCTGCCGCCGTCCTGTCTACCTTGGCTCGTCCTGATGAAACCGCTGCCGCCACAGCCAGCGTCCTTGGTCTTGGTATTGTCATTCAGGTGGAAGTTTCCAGCACTACCTCGGGCGCGCTGCTGCTGTTCATCGAGGGTTCTGAAGCGGATGAGTTTGATGCGGAGGTCCCGGCGGCTGGACCTGTGCGGCGTGTGCTATCGCAGGGTAAAGAGGCGCGCTGGCGCTACAACGCAGGCAGCATCCTGTGTGTGGAGCTGCCTGCGGTGTCAGGTGCCCAGCGTGAGGTACAGATCTTTCTGTAAATCAGCCCTAGCACTCCAAATTGATGTGCTCTAATGGGCAACGAGGGGTTCGAGGGCCCTTTCACTCCATTTGTTTAACAACCTTTGCTGACTCTTTGCTGGCTATCCACTATTGCTTTTGAGGGGTGCTTCAGGTACCGCTTATCGTAGTTCATCGTCGTAGCAGTTAAGCGCTGTTCGGAATTTCGGGGTTGAATTAGGGGATTTGCAAGGCCTGGAGTGATGTCGCTGTCCTGTGTGAGGATGTATGGTCCGTGTGGCAAGGGGGCGAATGTAGAAGGTTATATTGGATTGCGGGATGCAAGCTGCACACACAGGATGAGGCCGCGCCTGGCTTCTTATCGTATCCATCATCTGAAAATATACAGCAGGTGCCCGTCGTCGTTAACTTGGGGTTTTCAACAATTATGAGGAAAGAATCTACCCATTATTTGGCACTTCCTATTAGCGTTTGTGTGTGAGCGGTCGCCGAGCTGGTGAAGCTGTGTCCCCAGGGTGGTTTTGTAGCCACACCAGGGGAGTGAAATTTGAGGGAGTGAGGCCTACATGCCACATACAAACATGCAAGAATAAAATTCGATATCTGTCTTTGTTTAGGTTTTGTTTTCAGGTGAGTGGACCCGTTCCGAGTAACCTATTCGTAATTTGCAGCAGACTTGTGTGCAAGTATTCTGTTTTTTCACTTGCGGTTCTGCCGTTCTGTTAGCTGCACATAATCCTCATTTTCCATGGGCACTGACAGGACTGCTCTATGGTGTTGTGGGGCAAGAAATTCGTTTCGGGGATTGCGTCTTTTTAAGGACGGGCTGGCGCTGGTTGCGAGAGGGATGGCAGGAAAACGTATAGAAGGTTTATTGTACGTTATCTGGGCCTATAGTTTGTGTACTGATCGTGCTTGGATGCCAATAAGCATTGGCTTCAGAAGATCGTGTTGTGCAAGCTGTTGTTTTCTGATAGCACCTCGGTCTGTGCGCGGCATCTGTGCTTCCTGCCGAGCTTTGCTTTGAAGATGAGAGAGGAGATGAGCTGATAGCGGGCGATGTTTTCGTTCGGCATGCCTATGTGCATGCCATAAGAGGGAAATCATTTTTGCGGTGCACCCAACTCTGCATGGGTGTCATGCAGCACATCCCTTGCGTTTGGGCATATGAGGAATTTTAGTTTGAAGGGTAACATTGGGTGCATGTTAAGATGCATTCATATGAAAAATCCCTCGTCCGGGGACTGGAGATAATGTCCTCTTATCATGGTTTGTCTGTCAGTTCCTCTCCCGACGCACCCGCGCTCCGTTGGATGGTCGTTTGAACAGGCGTGCCCGATTTCTAAGGTTGGCTAATACAGCTGCTACAGGCACAGCCAACGTTTTTGAAGTTCTGAGCATGAAGATGATGGTTTTCAGTTCTTTTACCATGGATTTCTGTGTGCAAGTGAAATGGGAATTTGTTTTGTGATTTTTTTGGTCAAGTGAAACAGCGAGAAAATACTTTGGAGTAAGGTTGGATACTGAACCGCTTGCCGGTATAGACGTGTGTATTCTGGATTTCCAAATATGTAACAGTCCGTCGTACTCTCCCAGCGACCCGTGACAGCATCTAAATGACAGCCTAGGGCAAAGTACGCTCCTCAAGAGGCAACAGAGGCAACGCATTATGTACTCTAGTACTCTAGTACCAACCGCTGCACACCACAAGCATCTGCATAGATGTGGCCGGGCCAATGGCGGCGTTTTCCGTGCAGTCAGTTGCCGGCGCCCAGCTCCCCAAATCCCAACAACTTATCGAGAATGTGTCAGCTGTGTGTGTACCCTTACCATGCATATGGAATACTTATCTCTTCTTAACTGACTACGTAACCGTTTCTATTCATATCAATACCAACAATAATGTAGCGTTTCCGCATCTTTGCGCCCGGGCCCCACCCTCGCCTGCGTTCAATCAGCTTCGCCGTACGTATTGTTGCACCGCCCTGCCACCAATCAAAGAACTCCTGCCAGAAGCTTCCCGACAGCTCCCCGACCTTCCCTCCCCAGCTTCCGATCGCAGTGACCCAGCACCTGTCTCCCTCCCTGGACAGCTCAGCAGCAAAAGAATAACAGAACCTTTAAAGTCCTCCTGTCCTCTGATCCTTTACTGGAAATCCCGCAATCCGCACTAGAGGACACCGGCATAACAACACACGATTCAACAGATCGGCACAACTCAATGCATAACTAGCTAGCGCAAAACATGGAAAGAATAAATGCGTTGAGAATAGCGAGGTTGAAAAGGCAACACGACAGATGCATTGCTCCCATCTGTCACCAACACTGGACACAGCAAAACCCTCCCCCCCACACCCACACACGACGGTGGGTGGGGCCATTGGGGCCACTATTCGCTCCATTCCATCCCCGACACTTTACGTTTTGCCCTTTTTAAGCTTTTGCCACCGGCCTGACTTCAAATTACCCTCCTAGCAGTGATTTGTGCCTAACCCACCATCATAGCGCTCCCCGGCATCGTCCCAAGATTCAAAGCCATGATTTTTTAATTTTGAATCGTCAAATCAAATGTCTCAAATAAATTTCCATGTTCGGCTTCTTCGTGCAAGCAGGCCATTGTGACCGGCCAGGGCCCCATTCATCTTCCTACTCTGCCCTGCCGCAACCGGAATACAAGGCAAGCTAGGCTCTCACCGCCGCAACCCGCAACCCCCAACTACCAACCGCTACTTCTGTCCCCCTCACTCCCCTCATCATCCCGTCCACAGCCCCACAACGCAAGCCGTTGCCAAGTACGCCAAATACCAGCCCCGCGCAAACAAGTAAAAACGCTCCGGCAGCGACCCATGGTTCATCAGCCCCGCCGCCGCCACCGCCAAATTATACATAACCAAGAAACCGCAACCCAGCGCCACCTCGGGCCGCAAAACCACTCTCACATGCGTTTGGGAACTTTGTGCGAGGTACGACCCGAAACCCAGCGCCAAGGACGTCAGCATGTTGAACAGCGGCCCGGCGAAGCAAGCGGTCAGCGCCATGGTCGGCTTGCCTCGACGGGCCATGGCGGGGTTGCCGAAAAAGTCGCCCAGGCTGTTGCCCCAGGCGAGCAAGGTAAGGCCCATGACAGATGCGGGTAGCCTAAGCAGGCTCGCCAACAGCGAAATTACACCCACCACCTCAGACGCCAAAAGATCTATCCAGATAATCCCCATGAAAAACCCAAAGACGGCGAAGAACGCCGGGCCGAAGGCGAAGCTGGTGCCCAAGTCCCAGTCCGGCAGAGCGTCTTCCTCGCCCGCGGTAAAGTACGCCACAGCCGCCGCCAGTACGGCGCCCACAGTGAGAGCGAGTACGGCAGCTAGCAGCTGCAAGCGCCAAGCCGCTGGCGCCATGTAGAAAGCGACCAGCAGCGGCCCACCCAGGCAGGTCGCGATGAGCCAGCGGCGGCTGTAGGTCGCCGGGTCGACGAAGGGGATGCTGAAGCGCAGGGCGGCGTAGAAGGGGAGCAGCACGGGGAAGGTGACGGTGCGCCAGCGGCGGCGGAGGCTGTCCACGGGGAGCTCCTCCCACTCGGCGCTGTTGCCTGCAAAGTCCACTCATGTGTGTTCGTGTGTATGTGTGCGTGTGCGTGTTCGAGTTCGTGTGTGTGTTGTGTGTTGTGTCGGGGAGGAGGGAGAGGGAGGGGGAAAGACGAACCACGAGGAAGGAGAGAGGGGGGGGAGGGCGGGAAGTTAAAAATTAGTTGGGAGGAAACGGCGACACTCGAACAAGTGTAGCAACTTCAAGATAGACACATACATACAGACACACACAAAACAAAACAATACTGACTGATACGCGTTTGAAACCGTTTCGCAGACCATTTCAAGACCAACTCACCGACGGTAAGCTCGTACTGCAGCTTACTCCAGCACCCGCGGCGCCGTTCGCCTGCACGACTGTTGGGACGACCTGTCGACTCCAGCACCAACACGCTTCGCAAGCCCGATGATGATGGACCCGCCACCGCAGCCGTCAGCCCTCCTCCTCCGTCCTCCTCCACGGGACACTCCCCCTCCTCAAAGGCCGCGTGCCGCCGCCGCCGCCGCCGCTGGGACTCCAACAGCCCTTCCTCTGCGTCGTCGTCGTTATCACTGTACGACTCCGTACCGTAGTCCGTCGACGCATCTTCGTCCGCCCCGCGCCTGGGGAACCCCGGGACATGAACCTCCCCCGGCGGCGAAGGCGGCGGCGGCGGCGGCGC